CTGAAGGCCATCCCGCTGGGGCGCTGCGGCCTGGGTGAGCGGGCGGGCCGGGGCGCGGGGCGGGCGCGGGGGCGCCCCGGGGGGGTCTCCGGTGTGACCTCCGGGCACCTCTTTGCAGATCTCATCGTGCAGGCCAAGTCCGGCACCGGCAAAACCTGCGTGTTCGCCGCCGTGGCCCTGGACGCGGTGCTGCTGGAGAGCCCCGCCACGCAGGTGAGCCCCGGCGCGGGCGGGAATGGCGCCTTGTTTTGGGAAAGCTGCCTTGCCGCCCGAGGGGCGCGGGGTCTGGGGGCACAGCGGCCCGCTGCTGGGCTCTCGGCTTTGGGGGCCCTCCGCCGCTTTCAGGTGGCCCTTACAGATCCTCATCTTGGCTCCCACGCGAGAGATCGCCGTGCAGATCCACGCCGTGATCACGGCTCTTGGAATCCAGATGGAAGGCTTGGAATGCCACGTCTTCATCGGAGGGACTCCTCTGAGCCAGGACAAAGCCAGGCTGAAGAAGTGCCACATCGCGGTTGGCTCCCCAGGTGCGGAGGAGCTGCGCTGTGCTCCGCGTGCTGTGCAGGAATCGGGGCTTTTGGGATCTGGGGGTGGTTTTGGTTTTAGCAAGAGGGAATGGTCGCAAAGGCCAGTGCCAGAGGTATTTAGACCAGTAGTTTTAGTGAGAGATGATTCCAGATGTGCTTTTTTTTTGAAGGTGTATTAAAACAAACCTTTAAAAAATTACAAAATTCGTCATTAGAAGCTTTTGATATTTTTGAAGTTTCTTTTTACCTTTTCCTTGCTGTGTAGGTCGAATAAAACAGCTGATAGAGTTGGACTACTTGGATACAGGCAGTATCCGGCTTTTCGTTCTCGATGAAGCAGACAAGCTTCTTGAAGAAGGCAGCTTTCAGGAGCAAATCAAGTAAGACAGACGTTTATCTCGTGCGTTTATTGGTGGGTTAGGTGCATGCTTGGCAGTCATTCCCATTTCTTTGTCTCACAGTTGGATTTACTCTTCACTGCCCGCCAATAAACAGATGCTTGCTGTTTCAGCTACTTATCCCGAATCCTTAGCTAATGCTTTGACCAGGTACATGAGAGAGCCAACGTTTGTGAGGCTGAACCCTACTGACCCCAGTCTCATTGGTAAGTAGAAGTTCATTTATAGTGATGTTGTCATCAGTAGAGTAAGAAGAATATGCTAAAACCAAAAACATGTGCCTTTAAAACTTGGGATTCTTCATAATTTCCTTCCACAGGTGAGTTGATTAGTTCATGAAGTATTTATCCCCAGTGTTGATGTATTTAAAACATCAGTGATGAATGCAACTTTCTGGTTTTCTGTCTGTTCAAAAAACATTTTAGCCTTTTAAGAAAAACCTGTCTTGTAGGTTCTTATTTGTGCTTGTTTAAATTTAAAGTCGTCGTTTTAGCTGCAGTGACACATGTTGACAGCACCATAGCGCGGCACGTTTTTATGGAAATCCTTAATCTGACAGGTTTTTTGGTTTCATGCTCAGGGCTGAAGCAGTATTACAAAATTGTGAATTCACATCCGCTTCCGCATAAAACGTTTGAGGAAAAAACCCAGCACCTACAGGAGTTGTTCAGCAAGATTCCGTTTAATCAAGCCTTAGTCTTCTCAAATTTGCATAGCAGGTAATAAATTTGAAATAAAATTTGTAAAAAGCATGTTCCAAAGCAGTGGTTGTAATGTCCAGGCACGGATAAACTTCTGTAGACTTTCTGTAGGGTCTCAAAGCAGTATGTAAATCTCAAATCCGGAATACAGCCAGAGGAATGTGTTATGAAATACTGAAAATAAAGGCATGTTTTAGCATGAAGGTACCTCATACACTGTTTGGAGTACAGTGAGACCTGATATCATGTTGTCCTGTTCCATCTGTGAGATGACTGTTCTAGGCACAAAGGTGAAAGTGACAGTTTTGGAATGTAATCCTTGGCGGTGAAGAATAGCCTGCTGTTAAGAAATGCACAGGAGTTGTCAGGTCTGCAGTTTTATTTACAGTTTTCCTTGTGTATGTTCCGTCAGGGCGCAACGTCTAGCTGAAGTACTGACATCCAGAGGCTTTCCTGCTTGCTGAGTGCATTTCAGGTAAGTCCGTTCAAAACTTTCTGATTTTATTGAAGTCGTGCATAAATGTGACCTAAAATAGGAAAATTAGTCTTAAATCTTGGTTTACATGACCTCTGGTTGGATAACTAAAATAGCACTTGAACCTTCATAGCTCTTTAGGACTTAATTTTTACATGGATTAATTCTCCTGTTTTCAGATTTATTTGAGTCTCATCTTTACGAGTGTCCGGATGAGTGCCTTGGCTTGTTTGTACAGACAAGGTTTACTTCCCTTTGCAGGTTGAAGCAGTGTTTTATTGGAATGCAGATGTTGAATTTTAATCTTTTTTTTTTTATTTCTAGTTTCTCTGTAAAAAGCTGGCTGGCACCTCACGTTTATTAGAAACCTTGAATTTTTACTTCAGTGCTGTTTTCCGTGGTGTATGTGTATAAGTAACATTTGTGTAAAGTCAGTGTTGTTCGGGTGGGTTAAGTGTCTACATAATTGGTTTCTCTTTAAAAACAAGCAAAAGAATTATTTTGGTAGTGGATTTCCCTTTCAAGATTTCATTCATTCTTTGTCTGCTTATTTGAAACTGATGCTTGGGGAAGTGTCTCTCAACCTTATTTCTGATTTCATTTACAGTTTTACAAAACTCTTTTCCAGAATTTGAAGGGCATAAAACTGAAGACTGTAACCGGTTTCTAATTTTTGTCTTTTTAGGCAACATGAATCAGAACCAACGCCTTGATGCTATGGCTAAATTAAAGCAGTTCCACTGTAGGGTTCTGATCTCCACAGACTTGGTGAGTCAGTGTTTTGTGCCAGACGTGTGTGTTGCACATGAAGTACCTTCAGAGAATGAGATTTGACTCGGAATTGCATGGAACATAAACATAACTGATAAAGCACGTGGCTTCATTTTCACTGTGAAGCTTGGAAATTGTCCCCTGTTCCTCATCTGCCTAATTTCTCTGTTGGTTTGCAGAAGCTTAGATGTTTCAGAGCAGTTGAGTTGTTTACTTTGGATAAGAGCTGTGGGAAGGAGTAGTTTGTTCCTCTAGTACAGTGTGCTCACAATAGCAACATCTCGAACAATTTCACATGGAGCAGTGGTTGCGTTTGAGGCACACTCAGCTTTTTTGGGGTTGATGTATTTTTCTCTTCAGTTGACCATTTGAGGTCCTGTCATTTGATTACCAGTGTCGAGCTGAATTTTTTGATGCTGGGGGAAGAAAACATGTTTGCTTGTATTTGATACATAGAAGGCAAAAGAAAAATGATCCCTGATTTTCAGAGTCCCAGTGCAATATGCTTGGTGTACGTGTAATACTGCAAACTGGCTGGAGAATTGTAGGTGCTTTATGGTGTCTTGTAACAACTAGACGTTACTATGGAAGCAGTTAGTCCCAAACGTGTAGTATTTATTTACAGATCTATTCAGCTTACCTGTCCCCTTCTCTCCTCCTTGCTTTCTCGAGACATCTCGTGGAATCGATGCTGAAAAGGTGAATCTGGTTGTCAACCTGGATGTACCTGTGGACTGGGAAACGTACATGCATCGTATTGGCAGAGCGGGGCGCTTTGGTAAAAACGGTCCTGTGGGCTTCTTGCACTGGTTTCACTGGCCCAGGTGAGGTATTGACACTTTCTGTTGTGTGTCACAGGGACTTTAGGCTTGTCTGTGACATACTGCTGCCGTGGAGAGGAAGAAAACATGATGATGAAAATTGCTCAGAAATGTAATCTTCAGCTTCTTCCTCTACCAGGTATGTTCCGTCTCACGAATACAGCTTTTTTGTTAGTAGTTTTGTTTGTTCAAAGCTTCAGACAAGCCCACAAGGAACTGATGTGTATCTTCTCTGCTGAAGTTGCATTAATTTTGCTACAGGTTTTTCACACTCTGTGCTGGTGACTGATTGTGTAACTGCCACAGTTGTGCGAAGCAATAGAAAATGCACGTAATGCCTATGGATAGGGAGAGGAGCTCTGCATCCAGCTGTTGCTTAAGCAGCTATGTAACTACTTGGATTTGAAGAAATCTAATATTAAGCCTTTCTCAGGCTGTAAGATACAGCAGGAGAAGGAAACAGCAGAAGATTTGCCACCCTTGCTTTGCCAGAAGCTGTGCGGCCATAAGTAGAGCCTTGCCCTCTTGCATGAGTTCTTATTTTTTTAATCTGGTTAAGTAGGATAGGAAAACAGGTATGACAAGTAATGCAGTGCTGCTTGTCTTGATCAACTTTTTGATGCCTTCCATGAAGAAAATGTTCTGGCTATTTGAGCTCTTTCAAGAATTGAAGGGGTCCGTTTGTGGCTCTAACCTAACAAGCCTTAACACCTTCTATGCGATTTTGCAAAGCTTTACTTTGGTGCTCGTTTGAGTTCTAGAGGGAGGGATGCACTTGATTGAGTGCCTGCTTGTTTCCCTTTTGTGCAGAGCCTGTGCCTCCTGGAATGATGGATCAGTTCGAAGATGGGCAGGTAGAAGTCAAACCTGTTATACATACAGGTGCTTCAGTGAATTCTGACACTGTGTGTCTTAGACCAGAGGAACCAGTACTGCAGCCTGTCCAAAACAGTTTTGCAGAAGTACCTCAGCCTCTTCCAGGTCTTCCAGTTGATAATTCTTCTGTAGAAAGGCCAAAAAAGGCTCTGAAGCCAAAGCAGATAAAAAAGTGCACAAATTCTGCAAAACCAGAAGGTGGTAGTGGAAAGCCTCAGATTTCCAGTTGCCACACAGAACAGAGGAATCGAGTCAAAACTGTCTCCAGGACTGATGGACAATGTAACACTCAGTCTCCAGATGAGGAGGCCTTGAGAAAAAATCTTCCCAGAATTCCGTGCTTGTCGTCTTTCAAAAACCAACAGAAAAATCCCTGGAGCTTCTCAGAGTTTGTTGAAGACTATGAGTATTTCATTAAAGAAGGGCTGGAGAGGGAGGTTGAAATTTTAAGAAGCTACTCAGGCCCAGGAGAACAAGGCGAGCTGCCCAGAAACGGTGGTGTAGAGTGGAAAGAGGTGGGACATGATGCAGAGATCGTAGCAAACGGTGTTGTGTCTGGTGACAGTGATGGTTTGTACAGTTCCAGGGCTTCCTCCAGTAGCAGGGAAAACAACTCGTGCTTTGAAGCACTTTCAGATACACAGGAGAAGAACGCTGTTCCCACAATATGTCAGGGCCATGCAGGCTTGTGTTCGACACCAGAGAAGCCTCAGGAACTGTCACAAGTCCCAAAGCAAAATCGAGTGAAAAAGAAAGTTCTGAAACAAAACCCTAAACAAAAGAAAAGCCATTCCCATGGATTCCCTAGTCCTTCCGCTGGGAAAACTGAAGATGACTGCTCCTGCAGCTCTTGGGATGATGGTGTTCCACATGAGGCTTGGAGTTACAGAAACTACTGGAAATCTTATTATCAAGCCTGGCAAAACTACTACGCTGCGGTGTCTCACTACAGGAGAAGTTACAGACACTTCAGCTGGATGGGTGCCTATCATGTCAACTCAGTCTATCTGCAGGAACTGCTGAAAAGTGGAGATTGATGGAATGTCTCTGCTGTAAGGGCTGGGTTGGTTGGTACCATGAATGGACATTATCTGTGGGAACGTCACTGCTGCTCTATAAGTACGTGGACAAACATGAACGGATGTTGTTTAAGATTGAAGAAAAATGTTGTCTTTTTCGTAAGCGAGTTGTGTCTAGGTCAATGTTTTACATGCATTCCAGTGGTGGTGTTACAAGTTGCTAATAAAAGGAAATGAAAGACAGCTGGATGTTCACTTGCAATCTTTACCATGCAAAGTAAACAAAGGAGGATAAAAGGCAGCCACTTTGGTGTAAGAAATCTCAGTAAGAAGAAAGTACAACTACAGTTTTATTTGCTTGACCGAAGTCTTCCATGTGACTTTTGGGTGAAGATGAATTCACCGTGAGACTGCGTACTCTGTTGGAGATGATTGAGGCTTTGAGCAACCTGGTGTAGTGGAAGAAGTCCCTGCCCATGGCAGGGGGGCTGGAACTGGATGATCTTTAAGGTCCTTTCCAACCCAAACCATTCAGTGATTCCGTTTTCTGTAATTCTCTTACTCGCACCAGGCACCATGAGTTAAGTGGCAGAGTGAAACCTGCATCTCGGTGCCTATATTGCTAATTTGAATGCAGTTAATTAACACTGTAAATAACTTTAGCTAGGTGTATGGCAGGCTGTGCAGTGGAGGATGGTTTAATCATGTAGAAAATGTGCAGCAATCATAATTGGTCTGTCCCTCTGGGTGCAGCAGTATCAGACTTGCCACACTTACAGGACAGTTTTAATTAGAAATGAAATTACCTATTAGGACTGAAACTAATTGGTATTTCCTGTTTGGGTTGCACTGGTTTTTATGTAGCTGTCCTGAAGCAGGAAGAGATGAGGGTACTGGCTGGCATAGGGTATTGACTCTAAGTTGACTCCACGCTAATTTTGAAACTTCATCCTCTAACTTTAGTTTGGGATCATAGGGACAGATCTCTTCTGCTAGTTTCTTTAATTTCTCAAAGTTCACTAGAGCAGAAATAGTCTGTTGTGTTGTTTTTTTTTTTTTTCCTGAGCAGAGTAAGGCTGGAATTTCCTTAGGGAAAGCACTGCTTCCTACCTACTATGAACTGTTCTTCCAAGGAGAGCTTCTTTCACGTGGTGAAATGGATGTCTTCAGCAATGCTTGATTACTCACCTTCAGCAGCTTCCAAATTAATTTTGAGAGATACGGTGTGTTTTCACTCAGCTTACATAAATCCTTTGCTGCCTGAGCATTCCTACTGGTCTTGCAAAACTCCCTGTGCAGATCCTGTGGTGTCCCTGGCAGCACTTTCAACCTTTGTGTGCAACGGT